CATTTCGCAGACTCCTTAATCATCAAAATCCCTTCGCGTTTAAAGACCTCGGGAATCGGCAGATCTTAGCCTTTGCTCTCATTTAGACCCTTCCGAAGCAGGCCAGAGCTCTGTATTTTTTCTCTGTTGAAGTTTTATCTGCAATTCACATCCGCCTTGCGCAGTGAAAGCTGTACAGCTCTTTTCATTTCTCTTCGGACCCCGCATAGGCCTGTGACAGCTCAGACATTAGCTCGCTGGGTTAAGGAGTTGCTAGGCTCAGCCGGAATTGATACTAGTATCTTTTCCGCACACTCTACTCGTCACGCTTCAACTTCCCTCGCCGCTAGTAGAGGTGTTAGTGTGGACGAGATCAGGCGTACGGCTGGCTGGAGCAGTTCCTCGGACATCTTTGCTCGCTTTTATAATCGCCCGCTTCTTAAGGGCGCTTCGTTTCAGGACACAGTCTTGAGTAGTACTTAAGGTCTTTTAAATTTTACGGCATATGCATTTTTTATTTGTGAAACATCTATACTTGTACGCAACCTTTGCATTTATTCTTACTTATATATGGTCAGTTTAATCCAAATAAACAATGTTTTATTTTGCATCGTACGGAATCTACAACAAATCTGTGCTTTGAATATCTACAATTATATCCATCCGGACGAGACCTTGCATAATTTAATAATCGAACGAGCTTACCGTGAAGTTTGATTGTAATTATGCTGTCTCGTCCGGATGGAGAATCCCTCCCCCTCTTTTTTCTTTTTGTTCTATCCCATTGTCTCCAGATTTGTTGACTTTGAACTAATGATGACCGTCGAGACAACGGTGCGCAGCCTGAGTGCAGGCAGGTGGCGCCCTTTTTGAATTTGTCTTCAAAACCTGTTGAGGATAGCGCAGCGGAACGCTACTACAATTGTATCTACAATTGTATCCATCCGGACGAGACAGCATAATTACAATTGAACTTCACGGTAAGCTCGTTCGATTATTAAATTATAACGGGCAAGAAACTTCGTGGGGGTAAAAATTTGCGCTGATTACCCCTTAGAATCGCGCTACGCTTCGAAGAACCGAGTCTTGATGGGCACTGCGCTCGTTTTCTCTGGACTCGCGTTTTAGCGCCTTAACTTGCAAACGCAAGTTACCGTCGGGTCAGCGATAAGTTGGTAAAGTTGCGGCTGCGGGTCGGCCGCAGCTTCGAGTAACTGTGAAAGGATATTTTCAAAGTGGACGTTTCGTCAAAGTGGACGCGCAAAATAGAGTAATGAAAAGTTGGAGTTACGTGGAAATGGCGAACTGTTAATTTCTTCATCATTCGCTATTCGAGGTACCTTCACCTAACAATTTCACGGCAAATTGTTGTCGCAATAACCGATTCATAGCTGCACAATGTAAAAAGTATGGGAACGTTTCACGGCTCATACCGCTTGCGTTAGACGGCGTGTAAACTACACGAACGAGCGTCGCACATTCCTGCGGAAAGAAGATGTAATCCCACGTTTATTTATATATCATTTGATCGAACGATTAAAAGATGTTACAGCGTGGAGGTAATCCTGTCGCTCGTCAGCTTTGCAGATCGATCTGCCTCTTAAGTATGACGCATCGTGGCTAATTATATTGACGCCGGTGCATGCCGAAGCGCTTCCGGGTTGCCGCAACGGAATGTCGTTTCTCGGATCTGCGATCTCGTATTCGATATGTCTACGTAGGCGCACAGTAGATCCTTTCAATCACGGCCGACCTGGCTCCCGCCGGACGAATAACAATAGCTATCGCCTCGATATCAATTTTCTCAAGTGCTCGTGCGCGATTTAAGAGCGTGCGACCCGATCGGGGATGTAATGGCCATCCGTTTCCGATAAACATGCGTAACGTAATTTACGACTGATTTCCATTTCCAGCGCCGATCGCAATTTCCCGTTCAACGGGCGCGAGAGAGGCATTTTGCTGAATTCGTTGATACCGGTCGATCTTGAACGGAGCGAGTCATCTTTAGGCGGGTTTACCGCGTGCACCGTTCGAGCTGGCGCGATGGAATGCAGCTCGTTCGATCGAATGCATTAAGCGTGCTTCGCGAGTCGGATCGAATGCGATTCTTTCGGCACGAACGTGACAAAACGTGACCTGGTTTTTCTGCACGGTGTACTTTTCAATTAAAATAAAATATTTCAGGATCGCGACACTTTTACTCGCCAATTTTTAAAAAACATTAAAAATTTTTATAAAAATTTGTATAAAATCGATAAAAAGAAGTGCAATTTTTAACAAAACCGTGCATTGCTTTGGATTCCAAGGTTTCCCAATACATATATCATTCAGATTCCGTTATGCCGCGCCGATAATCTAGTCGCAGGTTTTTCAGCATTTGCTTATCCGCAAATGTTCCGTTGAATTCTGAATAGCGAATCATTTTCTATGTAGTTCGAGATTATGATCAGTTACGATCGTAAATTGAAATTGACGCCGGATGCGAATAATTTTAAGGTTGTTTTTAAGACGGATCGGTTAAAACGGGGTTTGCCTCTGGAATTTATGCGTATCAATTTAACATTTAATAAAAAACGCTCGGTATCAATGTCCGCTAATTACTCTGACGTCGAGTGCTTCCCTCGGAAGGTTAAGACTAATCATCGCCCTTTGCAATCGCAAATTGAAACGAACGTCAGATCGCCTGGGAAAGGTCGATCCCCTTAAGAGCCGGTCGTTAATGTACGGTTTGAATGAAATTATGTGCTTTTCGTTTCAAGTATTTTCAGGCCGCATAATTGCGCAATGTAGATAAGCGAATCTTACGATCCGTAGATCGATGCCGCGATGAGGATTGGAAACGAGCGGTCGCACACAGTGGCGTGTTACATTAACGAACGTCATTTTTCATCTTTCGATGCCCGGGGCGAGGCGAAGTCACGAAATCGATCTATCTCAAACAATCGTGTCATTGTATCTCTCTTCGAATCATCATCTCACTAATGATCGTTTGAATAACCGTTGAAATTTTTGAGCCGTTCAAATGGACAAACATCTTCAGAGGATGTTGATAGAAATCCACTGGACGGCGATGTGAAATAAGGTGTACATCAAGATAGGATTTTGACTCTCGGGACTGCCACCTTGCCACCTAACGACGACGGAGTGAGAGCTGTCGATGTCGATCTAGCAGTCGGATTTGTATAGGTGTCGATCGATCTCGGGTGACGTTTGTTATCTTTGGGTCAGTATACTATGCACACAGTGGGCCTGCCGGCGCGCTGGAATGCCGTCTTCTGCGATCGGAGCGTACATCAGTACGCAAGTATGTGTCAGCGATCGCCGTCTCTTCGATTGGAAGTGAACCAAGTGAAAGATCTCGAAAAGGAAGGCGATTAAGGGGGGAATGGGAGGACCTTGAGCGCGGTCAGCCACCGGAAGAGCTTCGACGGAGAGGCTGAGCACTGTTGGCTCAAGATCGCCATATTGTTGTGACTAGTAAAGCTCTGCCGGGTCCCCTGATCGGGGCTTCCACCGTTTATAACGGGTGTGTGCAACCCTCGCGGCGCCGGATCGGTCGTAAATGTCGTGGAACAATATAGGATACGTTATAATTAACGGAGGACTCGGGAGTCTTTGTGCGCGACGATAATAGAATAGATGTGTTCTCATTTTATCCGGCCTATTCCGAATGCGATTATATATCTACCGTGCAAATAACACATCGCTATTAAATTATTAGCGTCGTCGTTTTGCATTTGCGAAGATAATCCGAGAAATTCGAGGCTGGATGCTAATTTCATCGAAAGAATTTATGACTTTACATTTATTTCTAATAAATCTCAGTTTATTTGCTAATAGATATATGACTTTGAATGTTATTATCTCTAAAACCTTCGAGCACACATACACACATAATGATGATCCGTGAGATAAAAGAAGCTCGAGTTGATACTTATGACCTAAATGACGCAATGTATTTTCGCGTTCTTACAATTAGATTTGCGCGATGCAGAAACGGTGGGTAGAAATACCGAGGTAATAGGCTTCTTGGCAATTTTTACAACTTCATATTTAACGGCTGAGGAACGAATGTTCGTCGATTTGCTGGAAAAATGATCTGTTAAAACGCTCGACGCTCGGCAATCCGAGGCGCCTGGCCGTAAAACCTCGCGTTTAATACGAACCTCGCGAGCGGCAGCTTCGGCTGTTCGTTAGCGCAATCCGCGCGAGCATCGGCGTGGCACGCTGTGCTAGCCGATTCTCGAATTATTCTTAACGGTTTTGTTCTCACACCCACCTAGCTGGCGGTCGGAAATCTATGTACGAGCGGAGGAGTGCCGATTAAAGATTGCGTCGACGGAATTTCCTTATTTCTCACTTTGCACAAAGCGTCCGGCTACAGTAGCGTCCGGTCAAGAGCCACCAATACAACTCCTTATCGCGCGATTCGCTTCAGGAATTGCGCCGTTCGGTGCCGAAGAGAGAGAAAAAAAAGGAGAGGGATGCGGTATGAGGACGATGTCGACATCGCGCGGGAAGTGAAGACGCGTCATTAGAAAATTATAATGTTGCCGTTTCTCTAATGCTAGAGCGCGCGACGCGCGTGATCGATACTTCTCTGAAAAAAAATAATTGCGGTTAATTTAATTATTATACGAACGCTTATCATTTCTCATTGCGCAATCTCGTAATTCCTTCCATTATGAGATACCGCTTTGTTCCTCCGGATCTTCCCGCTGCATACGCACCCGTTATCCTGAAAAGAAAGGACACGCGGAACGTGTGCGGGAAAGGCCGGGATTGGCAGATCGCATCATTGCTTTTGATAATACACTTCACCGAGCGTGCGATGCGAATTATTACTATCGCTCGCACGGTGTTGAGGATTTCCGGTATTTCTATCGGCAGTATTACCGTTTTCGTGTTCGATCATCGATCTACATTGACGAGATGAGGATTTTTCCCCGACAGCTTGCGGCCAGAGACGGGACGAGCGTGGGATAGCGTGTCTCTCTAAATGATTTTCGCGCGTAGAGCGTACCCGTATTATGTAAATATCTCGTGGAAGATAAGTGCTTCCACGGAAAATTGTGGGGAGGTTTTCGCAGACACGTAGCGATTGGGTAAAGATAAATCGTAAGAAGCAGGCAAAAAGCGCCGGGAAGATGTCTCGATCGAGTCTCCGCGCGTTGCTTCGTGATCGCGGGAAGGAAACGCGAACGTGCAGTCATCCGCGCGAAAACACCGGAATGCACGTCGGTGAATAAGAATTTCTCCCTGCGAGGCAGGCGCGCCGCAACACGCCTTTGTCTCGCGATTCGCGCGACCTGCCTCCGTTTTGAATGCACTCGCGCCCGCGCGAAACCGGAGAACTGTATGGGCGCGTAATGCAAGGTGATTAATGCGTAACCTTTATAAAGCTCAACGGGACGACGTGCCACGGTGGCGTGGGCATGTATACCGGGTGTCCTCCGGCCGGCTGTGCAATCGGTTATTTTTTTGTCTAATCTCTCTCACCACAATGATTCTCGCACTCAGCGAGTGACACACAGCGTCTCTGATTGATCGTTTCAATCGTGGAAAACAAATGATGACGCTATCGAAGAGGAAGTCGATTAATTAATGGCTCAAGGTTGCTCCGATTGGTGACGGCGCTAACTTTTTTTCCAGTGGTCAGTCTTAATGAACGCAAATGTCTGATTTGTTGCCTTTGTTATTAACGAGCGGATCTCTAATCGTTCCGCGTTTGACCTCGCATTCTTGCGTTAATTGGATAAATTGCGTTTTATTGACTCGAAATCGTAATTTTGAGGGTTAATTAAAGCTTAATTAAATGCGCTAAACAGACTTACCGTTCTTAACAAACACTTCTTTCTTGATTGCAGAAGGCGACTCTTCCGGCTCCACCGTCGGTTTGCTGGAATCGTCCACATCTGTGTTGCTGTAACAGGTCAGAGAAATATCTTTTTTCAAATATCTGTTTTGAAGTGCGGCTATAGTCTTCATTGTTTTCGCTCATTTATCTTTATATTTTGCGCAACGTTTGACTGTGATGTAAAAAAAATGCCAACTATCCTGTGATATAAAAAAAAAATTTCGAACTCCGAATAATTAATGGTGTAAACTGTTACGTTTCAACGCCAGACAAACCTATTAAAGGCTTTGATAAACGACAATCGCGGTTCGGTTTCAGTTTGAGAGGCGATTACAGCGTCACGCAAAAGAGAGATTGCTTTTCAAAGCAATAAGCAAATGTCGAGCATTTGCATGGAGGCGTTCACCTCGTGGGACGGTCGAGTCGAATGAACGACTGTTCGATTTCCAGTAATCGACAGCCCTCTTTCCTATTCTTAGAACACTCAATTAACATTTCCTTCATATGCCGCACGCGCGCGCGCGCACACACACGCGGCAGGTAATCCATATACATGAAGAAAGTGAATTAATTTCCATTATATGTGTCCATTATATGTGGTTTAAAGTTTTAAATCACGCGGGCATTATGACGCGTTTATGTCCTACAGCATTGTTGATTTCCTAATCTAGGAGAGATAAATGTTAGAAGCGTGGGGTCTGAGTAGTTTAATGGTCAGAACATTCGCCCGGCAAGCGAAAGACCCGGGTTCAATTCCCGGCTTAGCCACTCGCGCCCTGATATTTTTTCTCTCTTCCTTTCTTTACAATAATTCCTATACGTACATTAAAGTTTCTCGATATATGAGAACAATGTACTTTAAAATTTTCGTACACTTTAAGTATCTCGAATTGAGATCGGTGTACAATTTAACTGTCTCTTGTAGACTAATTTACTAATTTCTTTAAGAAAAATTAAAAATTTAGCACGAACATCCTGCAACGGCTCTTATCGCCATTTTCATTATTTATTGTTTGTTAAACATATGAAGCCTTCCATTATATGTGGTTTAAAGTTTGAATTAATTTCTATTTAAAGTTTATTTGTTGCACGGCGCTGCGTCAACGAGCGCTTGTAGCGATCTTACTTCACGGCACAATTCCCAGCGGCTTTATTTCACAGCTGTGTTTTATTTAGAGTAAGCGGAAACTGTTCCGATTAATTTTATATAATGTATGCGATAATTATACCGTTGAATTGCATATTAGATTCCGAACAAGCAAATTGAATGTGAGCATTGCAATGCAAATTAGCGAAAGTGGATACGAATTGCGCTTCTAAGGATGACTGTGTGCAGTCTTTAAGATATTTCTCAGCATCCAAACGTTCTCTCAATCGCGCGCTGTGTTAAGTAATGACAGATCAAGCAGTGAGCACATAATTATAAACTTACGCATTCATGTATTCCAGGGAAGTTGTTTCTTCCTCTTCGCCGATGGTGGCGAGATTGCTCTGCCAATAATAGTCGCCGTCGTCGCTTTCGTCGGTTGTCTCCTCATCTTCCACAATTTCCTCATCTTCCAGTATTCGATTTATCTCCGGATTCTTCATGTCGTCGTTCACTTCATCCAGCGATTGATAAGTTTCGTCGTCCTCGCTCTCGCGCAGCGCGGAATTGTCGACTGACGTTGTCTCCTTCGTATTTGATGAAAATGTTTCCTTGAAAATATTGTCTGTTCCATCTCGATGAGAACTTTCCGAATCAATATGTCGCTCTCCTTTCTTGTTGAATTCGTCAATGCGTTTTTCAATCGATTCCACATTCGTATTTTGGTGCTCCACTAACGTTCTATTCGAATCACTCGCCGATTGCTCTTGTTTGTTTTTAGTATTTGCTTCTTCTTTAATTTCTTTCTGCTCGTACTTCGCCGTTTCCGGCGCGCTATCCAGCTCGTTCTTTGCCTCCTCTTTCTGATCGGACTGCAAACTTTTAGCCACTCTGATCTCAATAATCTCGAAAACTTTGTTTGTTTGCGCGTCTTCTTCCGAGCTTACAGTTTTGTCTTCGTCGTTATTGAAGCAAACTGAGTTTTCGATTTCTCGACTCTTTTCGTGGAGAGCACTGTTTTTGCTTGGTGACGAATCACACGATTCTGCCGAAACGTATTCATTACTTTCAGCTTGCGAAAGATTCTCGTTTTCTTTCTTGGCATAATTCGATTCGATTGACAGCGAAGGTTTAACGTCCCGTCGCGGCGTGATAATCGGCGGCGGTGGTGGCGGAGGTGGCCTTTTTCGTCGCGCTTTGACGTCCTTCCTCGGCAACGGCTTCGGCGGTAATAAGGGAGCTTCCGGCACTTCTCTCTCGGGCGAGATGGGCACCGTCGCGGAGATTCGCGGACGCGTGCTGTTTTCGGATTCGCTCGCCTGCGTCTGATTCACGCAGATCCTATTTACATGATTTCGAGCCGGCAACGGCGGCGGCGACGATCTGTCGCCGTTGCACCGCTCCGCGCTGGAAACGCGGAACTCCTCGTGGTTGCCGTTGACGCGCTCCACGAGCTCTACGTCATCCTTAATTGGTCTGAAATGCGTCGTTGAGTCGGCCGCTAAATCAGCCGTGTAGAAGAGATCCGGCCTGGCTTCGTGCCCGTAACTCAGCGGGGCGTCCTGAAAGCTGAGCGGCGGTTGAAGGGTAATCGTCTCCTCGATCAGCACCGTGTTCGGCGCGACAACCGCCGTAATTCGCTCGACCTCACCCCGCGATTCCACGTGCGTCACCGCCTCGGAACTAGCGAGACGACGAAGCAAGTAATCAGGTGGATGAGAGAAGTCTCGCTCGAGATGCTCGAGCGGGCAGATCGCTCGCGACAGCAACGCGTCGCGATCGGACGACCGGTCGAAAGCGTCCCGATCAACGCCCGGGAATTCGTTCAACTGTTGCTCGGAACCGGCAGTCGATGCCGTGGACGTCGTGGAAATCGTCGACACGCGATCCGACGTCGAGAATCTGTCGACCACGGTAGACATGGAGCTGCCGGTATCGTCGGACGTGCTGCCATGCGTGGAGCCGCACTGCGATCGCGCGTCCAGATAAACCATTGCTTCAGGCGGTTCCTAGAAACAGAGATCCTCTTTCAGTCGGATATCTTAATTATCAATTCTAATTCTAAATACATTTTCCAAGTTTTTCGAAGCAATTTTTTTTTAATCACTATTAACCTGCTTCAATTTCGCGAACTCCGGCGAACGGTCCTTCGGCGATCCCTTCGGGCTTTCCTGATACGTTCCGTTCACGCTCCTCGGCGAGGATTCGCAGCTCTCGTACGAGCTTACTTTGGTCACGCACTGCAGTCCGACCTGCTGCGAAGCCGACGAGCTGTGCTGCGAGCCGTTCTGCGATCCGTTCTGCGATTTCGAACTGTTCCACAACTTCTTGACGGGACTAGGATTCGCCTCGCCGTCCGCGGATCCACGGGGGTGCCTCAGCTTCCTCGGTGGCACGGGTGGGGGCGCCGCGGGTAGTTCCGGAGGCACCTTGCTTTTTTCGATCTTCCTTTCGGCGCTCACGACTTCCGGCCTGAGGGCGCCGCGACATCTCACCATCAGCCTGATGACAAGTTGCGATTCTTTCAACCTCCTCACGCAATCCAGTCGGGTCATGTGTGTCACCGGTATACCGTCGATCGAGAGTACCTGCAAGAGATGTAACATAATTGCGAGAGTGCCGGAAAGACGCACGTCGGACTTATTGCCCGCAATAATTTGCAATGTAAACAAGCGACGGAGGTGAGAGGATGCCTGTCTTGGGAATTATTACGCAGAAAGTGGGTCTTGAAAATCATAGACGGCGAAGTGCACCGTGGGAGAATGCATCTGCATGCATCGAGTGCATTTGCATCAGCTCGCGGCTGTTCCACAAAATTGAAACACGCTACACACACACACAGAGACGCGCTTACTCGCGATTTTAATTTTAATGGCGCGCACCCCGGCGAATTTACAGAATTAATTTTTCCCCGGCAAAATGAGCGCGTACTAAATTCAGGCATGCGAGGAAAATCTCCGGCTTCTTCGCTTCGAGAAAATCTCCGCCACTTCTCTTTTTCTTCCTTTCTCTCGTTTCCTCGTTCATTCAAGCTGAGACATTACGCCACCGATACAAGCGTCGCGGTTGGATGCGTGCAAATAATTGTACGTCAGTCATTATATCGACATTGAAATGCACTAGTAGGAATCTACCGACTAGCCATTGTGATCTCTATCCGGCGCAAAAGAAACCTGTCGGTTCCGTAATTGAAAGCGACACGTATGACGCGCGAAGGATTTCACGTGCCGTTAAGATTGAATGAAATCATACATGTTCATGAATGCTACTTTCTTGAATTTATCATGTGCATTACGGCACAAAGTAATATTTGAGCGAAAGCAGAGATGTTATTAGCTCCGTGTTTGCGCCAGGAAAACAAGATTAAGAAAGCAGCTTTTGTTCGCGTGTGTATCTAAGGATTTTCCTCGAGAAAATAAATAAAAAATCGAAAGCACGCGAGATTCTTAGCGTATGGAAAAATTATTTTCACCTCGTCTCCTTCGCCCAGGGTGCCCCACGAACACTTCGCTCTGCTGGCGGGGCTCTGCTCCGCGCAGCTCTGCACGAACAGCCTTCTGACCCGCTCGGAAGTTTTGTTTCCGCCTTCGAATTTGAGGCCGAAACCTAGCCGTTCTCCGGGCAACCTGAAGACTTCGACTTCCTCTTCGAGATGTCCGTCCATCCCGTTCGCCGCACTCTTGCCCGTCGACGTTTCCTCATCGTCCTTTTTTCCGTTACCGATTGATAAAACGGTCACAAAATTCTCAGGCGGTGGCTGACTGCCGACGCTGACCACCGTCACGAACTCCTCCGTTGTGCCCTTGGCGATGTCCATTTTCTGAATCGGTCTTAATTCATGACAAGCGCGGTGATCTTTACGCTCCGCTGGAATGCCGGCCACTCCCTGCAAACAGGTCAAATCATTGTAAATAATTCTGTGGCGTGTGACATTAAACGGGAGACAAGTTTCCATCGGGCTTTCCAAGCGCTATATGTTTAATTTGAATCGCAAAGAATTATTTAAAGCACGTTCGTGCAGAAGGTGGCACAATATCGGCAATCACCAGTTCACGACGAGGACAGAAGCGCATTCGCGTGAGAGAATTTCTCATATTTCTTCTCGTCTGCAGACGATTATTTTTCTAATCATACACATTTATCCGCGACGCGGGACCAATCAGCGGATAATCGCCGACAGACGAATTGTGTCACATAGCGCCGAGGATTGCGGACAATCATTAAACGTTCTTAACTGCATGCCGGCGTAGTCGCGTGACCAACTTAATGCGGAACTTTCATGTTACTGTCGTACCTGTTCGTCTTACTGATCACACTATTACACATATAGATAGCACCTGAGCGAATTATAAACAAACAGCACATGCGCCGGTATGAATTACATTTTGACGCGACGCATTTGTATAGCTGGTAAAACGCTAACTGTAACTTGCATTCTGTTATGCTTGACATTTGTTTCGTCGCGGTTGACCCCCGCTCGAGCAGACCGTCATTCCACCACTCTCTCTCTCTC